CAACACAAGCTTTCTGATCTCGTGTTTGAAGTAAGAAGCAGCCCTCCTAGAATGTGCACACGACCACCAAACTCGGCTCTTCTTTGTAAAGCAGTCCCCCTAGAATGAGCACACGAACTCCAATCCTAATTCTTTACGCAGTTTATCTCCTGTGGATCTTCCCCAAGAACTCCTCGTTCTTTAAACTCTTCCTTGATCTTTAATGCACCACAGTTGACGACACAATTTTGTAGCTGACTCAAGCGAAGAAACCAATTCAGTGTTTGATTTGATGGCTTTTATGTTTTTTTATGAAAGAAGCACATATGAATTGAAGAATTGAACTTTTGATCTGATGTAGGATGTATTCTCTATGGAATAGAATGTGTTCAATCATATTCTCGTAGGAAGTGCGGCGCCTCAATATATATGTTGGACGAAATAGGTTGCATGGGCCAAGTAAAAGTCTCGAAAATAGAAAACTAGGTTTCCCAAAATAATATGTCGCTCGAGCGAGGTGGCTAGTTCGCTCGAGCGACAGTGGGACAAAAGTCGAGCGAGGTAATTTCCGTTTCAGTCTCTCGGCATCACTCCGGTGAGCAGCTAGCCAAAATCCGGCTTGAATCCTTCCTGTTCCAAATATAAAACCCCAAATCCTAAGCTAACCTACCAACGATGAAACTTTACAATTTAGTCCCTAAACTTTTATAAATGTTCAAATTGGTCAATTTGTTCACAAAATCGCCAATTCAAAATATAAACCTAACAATATTTGTTAGTGATTCAAATGAAATTAGTGACAACAATACAATTAGTGATCTCCGACAAACACATCAGTGATTATCGTTGGTAATACCATCCATGATGTCATTGACAATCACCAAAGTAGTTTTGGTTGCTTATCTTCAACGCTTCTTTTTTTTTTAAAATTTTTTTTGAATGAAAGATCTTCACTTATTGATGAAATATTAAAAAATTAAAAATAAAAGTGAAGATATCGAGCATACTTCATTGGCAGAAATTACAGACGGAAGCACTATTAGTAATTATTCACGAAATTGCAATCGATAATCATAAACAGATGTGTCAATGGTCACTAATGAGATTTATTTTCGGTAATTTTATTTGAGTCCGTAATAAGTTTTGATTTTCATGTGATACGGTCCATGATTCTATTGATTATCATTTTCTATTTTAACCTTTTACGATTATTCTTTAAAAAGACCCATAAATATTTTGTCTAAAACTCCAAATTTGTTTGAGTAACCTCGTATTGAACAACTGGTAGATTTTAAACTAAGTTAATCTTTTATAGTTTTTTTTTGTTCACTTCAATGTATTGAATAATATAGACTAAAAACTTTTAATGAGTCCAATTTCAATTTTGACAGGATTAGAGGTTTTGTTAAGACAATTATATTATAAACTCATAGTATTGATATGCTGATGTAGACTAGTTTCGGCTAATGTGTTTTGACAAATTTGCAATTTAGCCTTTGTCCAAGAAGAATTCTTTAACAGTCTAATTTATAAATGAAAAATGTTATTTAACACCGGTGGTACTGGAGCATCAATTTGAATGTCATTTAGATGATATTAATTGATAAGTTTAATTAAATGTTTGTTTGAATGTTTGCACACCATTTAGATAATTCAGTCCCTTATTAGTAGTGTTGGAAAACTCAAAATAAGTAGAACCCCGCATGTTGAACACACGAGCAATAGATATTAGTAATAATGTTTATGGTGGGTGTGATCACATATGATAATCCAATAATTAAATGCATGCTTTGCATATGAATTGAGATTATGAATATGATCGGCTCATGCTAATTATATGTTGGATATATATTGGAAAAGAGTATTAAATATAAATTGACTATCGAACATCACAAATACATTAACCACACTAAGTAACGTAAGTCGAGAATTAGAACTAGACATCAATTTGTGAGTCGGAAATCCAATACTTTCGTCTCGTATTTGACAGAAAAAATCATCTTTGCAACTTTCATAGTTAATTAGAATAATCATCACAATCAAATCAATTTTTACGTTACAATAGATTGAACTTGATAAATACTAGAATACTAAAGTTCAAGTGGAACGATATTGGTAACTCACTAGTATTACTTGTCAACAATCTTGTACGCTTGCGGGATATTCTACGAACAATTGAAATAAATTATATAGATTATAATTTATTATTAACTGCAGCACTATTAATTAAATACTTAAACTGACACATGTCATGCACGTTCCATTCGTATATGGAAATTTTAATTTGGATTAGAACCAAAAGGAAGAGTCTTTTTAGGTTACGAAAAATTTTCTTATCCAAACAAAAGAAAGAGTTCTTTTAGGATACTAATGTTTCCTCATTCAAGGCATGTACATATTATAAATAGACGCAATGTTGAGATTTAATGGTTGTTAATTTTTGTTGTGCCTACACACATAATTTCTCTACAATTTTGAGTTCTTGAAGAACATTAGAGAAGGTAAAGGATTTGAAGGTGGAATCAAGAACATCAATGCAAAGAATTTTTTGTGAAGCAGGCTACAGTGGTAATTCCAATAAGGCTAAATATATTCACACTACATTTTCTTATAAGTGCACCACATTTTAATTGCATAAATTGTTTATTACCTTTACTCCATACCACACTTATGTCCCTAAGTTTTTTTCATTGTATTTTTATCACGATTTTTTCATTAGTTAGTGAAGGAATAGAAAAACTTATATCA